TTTCTCTCTATTCTTCCAGTGTTATTTTATTTTATATTATTTATGTGTATGTATATTTAACAGTGCTGTGTGTGATATGGAACTTCAATTTCCCTGAGGGAACCTCCCAAAGGGATTAACAAAGTCATGTCTAAGTCTAAGTCTAAGTCTAAAATTGTGGGTGGAGATAGGTTTTACAGTTTTTGAAAAAAACAGAGTGATTAACTTAATAATTTTTAATAGGTTTAAATGTACAAAAGTTTCTTCAGTATTGGGGCTACAGTTTGATGAAAGGTGTGAAGTTGTAGCACGTATGGTTGATTTGTTATGAATTTTCAAAGTTTTGAACTTTAGACACTTGCTGTAGCACCACCATCAGGACTATTGGCTTGAGTTTACAGCTGAGGATATTTGGCATGAGACTGGACCTTTGTGCAAAGTTTGGTGAGTTTTCACCCATGGGAAGTATGATTTCCTCGGAAGAAAAAAGAAGAAAGAAGAAAGAAGAAGAATACCTCGGATTACAATAGCGTCCGGGCAACCCTAATTAACAAATACTTTCAAAATGCTAAAAAGAAGCTACAAGTGTGTTTTTTTTTCTTCTTTTTATTACATCATACCATCCTTAAAGCTTTGCATAACATGTTCAGCTTCATGTCCACTGTACTGATGCAGAATAAGTGCCAACACAGACGCCTCTGTCAAAATAAGTAAATGAAAAAATAAAAATGCAGTATAATGTTGAACCTGGTTTACGTTTTGCCGGAACACAATGTGTCATCTGGCAAGAGCACAGTCCTGGTAGGTTATGTTGTGATTCGAAAGCTGTAATTCCACCATATATCACCATCATCACGACAGCGGATTAAACGATTTTCAGCGCAATAACCTCCAAGAGTTGTGGGATCCACCCACACAGAATCATAAACTGATTGTACAATGTTTTGGACGAGCCTTAAAACTCATAAATGTATGACTCAACCTGGGCTTTGTTTTTCATCTTCTCACCACTACCTGTAGCAATAAACCCACACCAGCACAGGCTTGTGTTGTTGTTTTTTTTAACACAGGGCTATTTTCAGTCTGTTCTCCCACCTATCCATCAGAGACACTGTACCTAACACAAATACAGTGTACTATATTTCAAGATTCGATGCCAAAACAAATGAAGACAGAGACAGATGTGCCTTTTACATCAACAGGTATAAAAAGCAGAAACAATTGTAAATACAGTTGGTATTAAAAACAGCTAGAGATTGAGTGAGAAATGCAAACAATAACAGCTGGACAAACAAACACACAGTGGATGTACATATATATATAAATACATATTTTAGTGAGCATTTGCACCTTTGCCGAGATAATCCACCCACCAGCCAGGTGTAGCATATCAATCTGCTGATTAAACTGAATGTACAGGTGTGACCTGTGGTGATTACAATAAAAGGCCACTCTAAAATGTGCGGTTTAATCACACAACACAATGACACACGTCTCAGGTTTTGAGGGAGCTTGTCATTGGCATGCTGACTGCAGGAATCTCCACCAGAGCTGCTGCCCGTGAACAGAATGTTCATATCACTACCACATCCTGTCTCCAATGTCAATCCCATGACTTTGGCAGCACATTCACGGGGACCCAGCTCAGGTGTAACCACACCAGCTCAGGACCTCCACATCCTGCATCTTCATCTGCGTGATCATGTGAGACAAGCCACACGCACAGCTGGTGCAAAAATTTGTTTGCATGAGAATTTCTGCACGGACTGTCAGCAACCGCCTCAGGGAAGTTCATGTGCGTGCTCATCTTCTTCACCAGATTGTGACCTGACAGCAGTTTGTCACCGTAACAGACTTGAGTGGGCAACTGCTCACCTTAGATGGCGTCTGGCAAGTGCTCTCTTCACAGATGAATCCCAGTCTACACTGTAACGGGCAGATGGCAGCACGTATAGTGTCATGAGCGTGAGCAGGTCTTTTCTGCCAGCGTTGTGAACACAGTGCCCCATGGTGGCGGTGGGGTTATGGAATGGGCTGGTGTGGACAGTGAACACAGGTGCATTTTACTGATGGCAGGTTGAACGCACAGTGATACTGTGATGAGATCCTGAGACCCACTGTTATGCCATTCATCTGCCTCCATGACCTAATGTTGCAGCATGATAATGCTCAGCCCCATGCTGCAAAGACCTGTACACACACACATCCGGGAGGCTGAAAACAGCCCAGTTCTTGCATTGTCTGCACACTCACCAGACATGTCACCCACTGATGTGATGCTCTGGATGGGTGTGTATGACAGCATGTTCCACTCCCTGCTAATATACAGTAATTTCACACAGCCATTAAAGAGGAGTTCTACATCCCACAGGCCAAAATCAACTACCTGATGCAAAGAAGATATGTTGCACTGCATGAAGCAAATGATGACACCTTGCTTGTACCAGGTTGGACCCCTTTTGCCTTCAGAACTGCCTTAATTCTTGGTGTCATAGATTCAACAAGGTGCTGGAAATTTTCCTCAGAGATGTTGGTCCATATTGACATGATGACATCACACAGTTGCTGCAGATTTGTTGGCTGCACATCCATGTCCATGAATCTCCCGTTCCACCACATCCCAAAGGTGCTCTATTGGATTGAGATCTGGTGACTGTGGAGGCCATTGGAGTACAGTGAACTCATTGTCATGTTCAAGAAACCAGTTTGAGATGATTTGAGCTTTGTGACATGGTGCGTTATCCTGCTGGAAGTAGCCATCAGAAGATGGGTACACTGTGGTCATAAAGGGATGGACACGGTCAGCAACAATACTCAGGTAGGCTGTGGTGTTTAAACCATGCTCAGTTGGTACTAAGGGGCCCAAAGTGTGCCAAGAAAATATCCCCCACACCATTACACCACCACCAGCAGCCTGAACCGTTGATACAAGGCAGGATGGATCCATGCCTTCATGTTGTTTACACCAAATTCTGACCCTACCATCTGAATGTGGCAGCAGAAATCCAGACTCATCAGACCAGGCAAAGTTTTTCCAGTCTTCTATTGTCCAGTTTTGGTGAGCCTGTGTGAACTGTAGCCTCAGTTTCCTGTTGTTAGCTGACAGGAGTGGCACCTGGTGTGGTCTTCTGCTGCTGTAGCTCATCTGCTTCAAGGTTGGACGTGTTGTTGGTTCAGAGATGGTCTTCTGCAGACCTTGGTTGTAACCAGTGGTTATTTGAGTTACTGTTGCCTTTCTATCATCTTGAACCAGTCTGGCCATTCTCCTCTGACCTCTGGCATCAACAAGGCATTTTGGCTCACTGGATATTTCCTCTTTTTGGGACCATCCTCTGTAAACCCTAGAGATGGTTGTGTGTGAAAATCCCAGTAGATCAGCAGTTTCTGACAGACCAGCCCGTCTGGCACCAACAACCATGCCACGTTCAAAGTCACTTAAATCACCTTTCTTCCTCATTCTGATGCTCAGTTTGAACTTCAGCAGGTCGTCTTCACCATGTCTACATGTCTAAATGCATTGAGTTGCTGCCACACGATTGGCTGATTAGATATTTGCTTTAATGAGCAGTTGAAAAGGTGCACCTAGTAAAGTGGCTGGTGAGCGTAAAGCAATAACTGACTAGTGCAAATTGAGGAGATGACACTCCGTTTTACATGTCTCCACAGATACACAGTCACAGTTTTGAAAAATCTCCATCTTAGAAGGCATTCTTAAAAAATCTGCATTTTAATGGCTTAAAACTCTGCATGTAGACGAGAGGCCAAAACTTACACATTTTCAAAAATATCTGTAGACAGGGCCTTACGGCTTTTATTTTGAGTCCACTGTTGACACTGTTTAACCATCATTGAGATGTCACATCTGTCAGGTGGATGGATTTTGGAAAAGGAGAAGTGCTCACTGAAACCGATTTTAACAAATTTGTGGAAACTGTAGAAGCTGGTGCTTGTCAAGCAAACATATCAGTCAAATCCAAAATATAAAGAAGTCTGTTTTGCTTCACTGTCAGCGTGAAGTGGGAGCCTTGTGTCTTTTGTGTGTAAAAACCCTGACAGTTTGGGAGGATACAAATTGAACTGTCAGAGCAGAGAATAAGAACCATTTGTGAAAAGAAACATGCAGTTCATGTCCTTATCGGGTATTTTAATAGAGTTAGCGTGGCTCTTTTAGTTATTATTTCAAATAATGTTCCTCTTCATTATCCAGGGCAGGCCAACATGGTTATGGGTAGTCCGGTAAATTAAACACAATAAGGTGACTGAACCTATTCAGAAATTAGACACAAGTGACAGATATTACATTTAACTATGAATGGATTTTAATTGGCAGGTGACTAAATGTGCAGTTAATGTAAACACAACCGTGTGATAATTGAACAGTAATTGCAGGGTTGTTGGAGATGTCTCCTCACAGAGGACATCAGTAATGTGGGCTGAAAGCAGCGTTTGTGTCCGTTAAATAATTACCCTGCTGTAATTAAAGATACAGTTAAGGCAGCCTCTCTTTATCTCTCTCCCTCTCTGTCTCACACACACAAGCACATATCCCCCGTGGCCCCTGTCATAACGATGTCATGTCTCGTGACGTAAGAGTCGCCTTTATAAGATGCTGGATATCGGAGCAGAGCGCACTTTACGCTCCACTCTTCATCTTGCGGGAGTCTCCACTGTGCGCGCGGATTACAACTCATCTAAAAAGTGGTGACTTGGACATGACAGACTCCCACAAATATAAAACAACAGTTAGGAAAGGGTGGTCTCGTGATGAAGTGTGATGAATAATGACAGCTTTGCCAAAACTACTCATGCGTCCAAAGAAACTGGTGCGCGCAATGACATGCTGATTATGGAGAGAAGACGTGCGGTGGTAACAGGTGGCACTTTGTGATTGCAGGGTGTTTTTCAGCCTTTGTGTCAGCTCCAGTTTTAGAGGGAGAGACTTGGCAGCTGTATGCTCTCAACAGCAGTGGAGGAATGTGCGAAGTGTTCATGTCCCAAAGGAAAAACATCATGGAGACAGACTTGAGAAGGAAACCGCTGTTCATAAACTTTCCACGTGAGCAATGTGACCAACCATAACCAACCAAAAAATAGGCTACAAAGTGAAGACAAGCTCCGATGAATGGACGGCAGGATGTTTTCCGGTCAGGCTGGTCTGAATTACAGCTTCAACCTGAGCGATGACCGGGAGCTGGTGGACGCGCCGGCGGGCAGAGGGAAGCTCTCCCCGACGGGCTTCGTAGTGCTGTCCGTGGTGCTGGGCTTCATCATGACCTTTGGCTTCCTCAACAACTTCATTGTGCTGCTTCTGTTTTGCAAATTCAAGAAGCTGCGTACGCCGGTGAACATGCTGCTGCTCAACATCAGTGTGAGTGACATGCTGGTGTGTATGTTCGGCACCACGCTCAGTTTCGCCTCCAGTATCCGGGGGAGGTGGCTGCTGGGGCGCAGCGGCTGCAGCTGGTACGGCTTCATCAACTCCTGCTTCGGTAAGTCAGTCCTATTCCCTGATACTTCAAGGATGCCTGAGCAGAAACTGTTTAGGCTGGTATGTTTGAGAAACTCCTCACAAACACATTTTCCTTTCTCCCTGGTGTGTGATTGCATGCCTAATTTTTTTTCCAGTTTAGTGGTTATTAATATAACCATAGCTCTATCAGTGATGGGGAGGTTACTTCTGGAATTCAGGAAGGTCACAGGTCAGTAGTTACCCTCTAAAAAATTTAATAAGTTGATTACTCCACCAATGTAATAAAGCCTAACTTATTATATTTAATTACTCTTTGATTATTTTTCTGACAAATGTTTTAATCTGGGCACTAAAGCTGGAAAACTGGGCGAAGTTGGGCGAATGAGGCAAAGCAATAGAGTGTATGTTTTATTGTTACTTACTTTCGTTTACCGAAAAGAATATTTTTTGATTTTTCATTACATTTTTTTCCCAAATAATTGTAAGTGATTACAGTTACATTTATTACATCACTCCACAATGCTGATAACTATATATATCGTGCTATAATACATAATTTGGAAACTCACTTAAGAAAAGCGGAAGTGAAAATGACTTTTTTTCCCCACAATGGATACAACCTGAGAAATTAAAGGGATAGCTACTTTAGTATACACAGCATAGCAAATCTCCATCTTCCTAATATCATCATATCACCAGCCTCAGTTATTTGCTTTTCATTGCTTTTGCAGTACATCAGTGACTATGAGGACTGGTGGGGATTGGATGCATTAATGTTTTCAGTAGAGCGTTGCAGTTCATCTCCACACTATCTGTTCAGTGAGGAGAGTCACACAAATTAAAGTTGTAGATGCTTGTTTGCTGAAATAATGTGATCTCTGATAGCTGCTTTTTATTTTCGCTGGAAGGGTGCAAAAGGTAGAAAGGACATTTGGGATGTCAGAGCAGCATAAAATTAGAGCTCATCTTGCGATGGGATCACTCCAGCCATGATACAGTGGTTTGAATGGAATTTAAAGGGAATGTTGGCCAGAGGTATAAAGTGAGGTGGCCAGTGGCTCCTTCCCTACTTCTGGTGTCTTTGTTCAGACCACGCCCATCTTCAACCTTGGTCTTCATCTTGGTCTTCAACTACACATCTGTAAAGTTTTGTGACTCTAACTTGCACGGTTACGACGTTATCGCGTTGCAACACATTCTCACTCCGACCATGTCACATTCCGATATTTGGTCATGAACCTTCCATGTCCAGATACGACGTGCAAGGTACCCTGGGTGCATTGGTTGTTGACGTTCTGGGATGCTGTGTCAAATTCTGCCTGTTACATGTGTTGTCTTCTTTCAAAATACACTTCAGTTTTCACAGGAAATTTACAGTCTACTTACAGTCTCTAGGCAACGAAAGCACGTGGTTGGGTTTAGGAAAGGAACAGGGTTGGCTTTATAATCTTACGAGACGCAAACACCGCCCTCCCGGACGAAAGTCAGTGTTCATTGGACCCACCCACCACCCTGCTCGGACTTTTACTGCCTTAACTTTAATTTTTGACCTGCTGTGTTTCCCCCTGACGCCACCGAGCGCTGTTAAGTATAGCAGCAAATGGCCACGTTTCATGCTGACTTCAAAGGACGCCTTTTATCGTCAGTGTCTGATGCCGCAAGTAACTGCCCAAACACCGGATTTCGACGAGTTTGGAGTAAGACCGGGTTGCGTGTTGACAAAATCTGTGCACAGACAGACATATAAAAACCCGACAAAATACTCAAAATGGCTTCAGTGGTAGTTCTACTACAATAGATTTTGTCTGGACTACATTTTGCCTTGATGACGCACTTATACAGACACACAAGCTGAAAATAGTATCAGCCAACTATACATCACTTTACTTTTAGAACACACAACATAAAGACAGACTCGTGCTCTGGACCCCTGACATATACAGCCTATTTTTAAAACTATAACCAAGATTCTTACTGAGTGGGACATTATACAGTTGGAAAATCAAGCTCTCCAGTGGATTAACTATGTAATGGTGACACTGTGTCTAGTTTGCCATGACGGTACTATCACTTCTTGTTACTTAACAGCCAACAACATGCTGATACATCTGTAATAATATGGGCCCAGCAGATTGATCAGTCTAGCTCTGCTTTGCATTCTTTTCTTTTTTTAAAAGATATTTTTTGGGCCATTTTGCCTTTAATGGACAGGACAGGTAAGCATGGGGGGGGGGGGGGGGGGGTGACATGCAGCAAAGGGCCACAGGCTGGATTCGAACCCGGGCCGCTGCGGCAACAGCCTTGTACATGGGGCGCCTGCTCTACCACTAAGCCACCGACACCCCCTCTGCTTTGCATTCTGACCTTTACCAACCAAATGCAAAAGGGATTGCAGTCAGATAATTATATTCATGCACCACACTGTTTATGACAACTCACAGCAAGGCAGTAATCATAATATATAATTGGAGGGGCACATCCCTGCCTAATATGCTCAGAATGCCCACCCCAATTTATTTGCTATGCTTCAACATGAAATCACGCACAAAGTAGCCGTCCAAAGTAATCATGAGCAAATGTAATCATAATCATAAATAAACTTAACAAACTGCCATTAGGGTCTAGTGTTGCACTCTGCTGCAGCTCTGTGTGTGGTTTGTACAAGTGGTGTTGCTCTACCCCAGCAGAAGCCGTTGATCAACTGCTGTGAGTAAATAGGCCCATAATGAATGTCAAACACTGCACTGTCTCTCTATTTCATAACTTTCAAGTGCATTTTAAAATAGTGGTTCCCAACTGGTCCAGCCACAGGGTCCAGATTTCTCCTTAAGGCCCATTTATGCTCCCTTTACGTACAAAAATGTATACGTCCGTTTCAAACGATGTTACCGTCACTGCCCACATACTTCCATGCGTCCTTTACGTTGGCAAGGATGTTAACCAATATATCCACCAGGGGGCAGACCAGAGTCAAAAGTTTATGACAACAACAAACTCAAAAACAAACATGGCGACTGTGGAGGAGATATTGATAATGTACCTCTTGCATTAAAGACAAAGTCTCTAGTACTGCCGATGAGAGAAATTGATGACGAGCGTCATTTCCAGTACTTTAGGATGTCCGCCGGGGCATTTGATGACCGCCATTGTTATTTCTTCTTCGTGTCTCACTAGAGCTACGTATCGGGTAGTGACAGCAACACTTCCCCCACGGTTTCCGGTGGTACTGCTCCGTTTGGCCCGTATCCGTAAGCTTTATGGAAATGTGCAGAAATACGGACGAAATGAAGGCGGAGCACGGACAGAAGGCTCCGTCTGTATTTTCAGCTCCATACTTGCACTTGGCCATGTCATTGAGCTAGTTTTCAGTCTCTGTGAAATAGCTGTCTGTTAGTCACTCACTCTACGGCAGGAAACAGCACTTCAAAACAAAAGCTCTGTGCTGGAATTTTACTGTACTTAAAAATTAGGTATGATTTTTACAGACTAGACACATTTTCAAGTCACTTGTGATCCATTCAGAATGGACCTGCAACCCACCATTTAGGAACCACCATTTTAAAAAGTGGTAAACTAGAATCTAACATGAGTGTTGCTGAGGCTGTATCACTGTTGACTTTGATCGTTTGTCTAATCTGTAATTATGAAAATAATATTTTGCCAAGAGTGTCAAAAAGCGTGCAGATTTGGTCCACCCTAGTGTTGACTCATGACTGCCCTGTCTTGCAGGCTTCTTATCAAAATAAACCATGTGAGATTTTTTCTTAACATCCTGGACAAAAGCCCTCGACCTTGTGTGAGTTACCTTCTTTGTGCATCAAGATAAAAACGTACATGATTTCATATTTTATATAAACACCTGAATGACGTTTTTCTAATGTAAGACAATCGATGCACTGACATTCATGCCTACATCTCCTAACCTTTGAAGTATCAGATTAGAAGAAATGACTCTCTGATTCTTGTGGATGTGTTTCTGTGCTCTCTGTAGATATTAATCTCGTCTACGATCCACTGAGTTTTTAAAATGAGATACAGACTCCCAAGAATTTTGTAGCTGTTAGCTTTGATACTGTACAGAGGATTCACGTCTTTGTATTTAAGGTGAAAAGGCTGTTTTACAGATCTTCAGGATGTTCAGTTTTGGGTTAAACTTTTGATAAAAAAAAACATTTTGATGCTTTTCTGGGTTTGGCAGTGACCACTCTTCTTGTGTTGTAAGAACATGGGAGTTGCTGGTCTGCTGCTGATTCGATTGCTAGATTGTGTTATTGTGTGACTTTGCTAAATCTGAACTAACCCTTTCAAAAACCAAAGTCACACAATAACACAAACTACCTACAAATTAAGGCAGTGGTTCATCAGCCGCTCCCGTGTTCTCTGATGTAAAATTACTGCTTTTGTCAATGAAGTCGGACTTTGACGAAAGTATAGATAAGTTGCGTCCACATACTCGGCGTAAAGTCAAACACGTTCTCGGTGGATGTTGGCCTCAGCCAGGGTTGTCCCTTGTCTATGATCCTGTTTGTGATATTCATGTACAGGATTGGGAGGCGCAGCTGGTGGGAGGAAGGGGTCCGGTTTGGGGACCACAGAATTGTATCTCCCCTTTTTGCAGATGATGTGGTTCTGTTGGCTTCATCACACCGTGACCTCCAGCATGCACTGGGGCGATTTGCAGCCGAGTGTGAAGCAGTAGGGATGAGAGTCAGCACCTCCAAGTCTGAGGCCATGGTTCTCTGCTGGAAACTGGTGGACTACCCCCTCCAAGTGGGGAGAGAGGTATTGCCTCAAGCTGAGGGAGTTCAAGTATCTCAGGGTCTTGTTCATGAGTGAGGGTAGAATGGAGCGTGAGATGGATCTGCGGTTTGGCACAGCATCCGCAGTGAAGTGGGCTCTGTGCTGGAATGCCAAGCTTTCGATTTACTGGTCCATCGATGTCCCAACCCTCACCTGTGATCATGAGCTCTGGGTAGTGACCAAAAGAATGACGTCACTGATACAAACGGCTGAAATGAG